CCCCCCGCCATGCTGGTGTAATCACTTATCTTAAATAATGCCTCTTGTTCCGATCATCTTCTTCTTTCCAGTAGTTTTCAGGAGTCCCTCCAGCGCTGGTTCGGGTCTCTGATCCAGCGCTGACTGTCGGGTCTTCTGTGTCCCACGGTGTCTGTGCGGGCACACATTGCCGGGCTGCATGCATCGACTTACCTTGTGTCTCCCCCCTCTTCTCCTGGCCAAAGATCTCTGCTGCGCATGCACCTGCCCCGTGATCCTTTGCGGCTACCCGAGCATTTTTCAGATTTTCGGACGGGAGCGCGCGATGGAGACACATGTAAGTTTTAACCTTTTTTGGTAACTGCTAGCTAGCAGTAGATTTATGCAAAACAAACTCTGAGGGTTTAATTATCCTTTAATTTCTGTTTATTACCAGACAACAATTGGAAAATAAGAAATGTTAAATATAGATTTCCAGTATGCATAATTACACACAACCTTTAACAGACTGGAAGCACATGCTTCTGAATTACTGCCAAATAATGACGGCTCTACTTATGAAGTAACCAGCAAGAACTCATTTGTGCAAGAACAAAAAAGTGACTCATTTTATGAAGTTCTAATAAACCAAGCGCTTTATTGCACTTGTTTTTAATAAGACCAAATCCCTGGTATGGATATAGATTCAGAAAAACTCCTGAAACAGGAGTTCTTGGCAGAGATTTGAAAGTCTTCTATTTGTCATTAATATGCTAATACTTGACGTTTGGTTTGACGTTATTAATTCATATATGCAATCTGTCAGATCACTGACATTTCAAGCAATAAAATTTGCTTCAAACTGACATTTTGAGGTAATTTTTGGGGTGGGATACTATGTTCAAAGTAAACCTGTTATAAGGAAAACAAGGGGGCTGCTTTGATGATATCCAGTGGCGTAACAATCGCCATAGCGACCCAGGCGGCCACTATGGGGCACAGGGGGGCCCGGCCAGATGCCAAGCGGACCGCCTGGGTCGCTATGACATCCTCTGCTGGTGGCTTTCACTGGCGGCTCTAAAGAGAAACACGCCACTGTTCAGATCACTGACAGTAATCTGTGCAGCAGTGCGTTCGTCTCCACAGCCGCTGCTGAGTCAATGAGAGCCAGCAGCGGCGGTGGAAGAGGAGGCGAGGCCCGTGGTCCACAGCAGGGGAGGGGGTGGGGCACTGCAGGGTCACCCTCAGGTGGTCTGTGTTGTTATCTCAAGTTTGCTCTGCAAGGGGTATAACTAGACATCACAGGGCCCCATACAAAATTTTGCTATGGGGCCCTGTGATTTCTAGTTACGCCCCTGATGATCTCCTTCTGTTATTTTGACCTTTTGGCTTCAATTTTACTTCAGAACTGACTGAGTCACTGACTTGTATAAGTATGTAGGTCAGAAAAGACTCTTCCTCTTCATACTTGTCAATGACTCGGTCTTGGTGAAAGAGAGTCAGCATGACTGCAAAGCAGCTAGCATTTGTTTAGGAGGAGCAATCACAGCTTCCATGTTTCTTATATGGCGGGTTTTCTTTAGGTCTATTCACACCTATGGGTTGTGGTAATGCGCAAATAAGAATTAAGAATACTTTTTAGGAATGGGCATACAAATTTAGTCAGCACTTCTGTTACTATAATTCTGAAGCTAACAAGATTTACCCACTTATAAACAAAGAGAATGTTGCATCTAGAGCAGGGGTATTGCACTCAAATTCAAGTGCAATAAAATGATCAAGGAGCCGAGTTTGTGAATCGTGGTTCGGACAAAAGGGTCACTCAGTTTGTGTCATTACCACATTCCTCCATTTAGGCTGCATTCACACCAGCAGCTGTACTGTGTGTGATCCAAGGCACAGTGCTGATGTGCCAATCACGATGCATCGCACTGTTTTCTCCCCCCCCCCATGTACATACACATGCATGCCTTACGTGCACATGCTCATTAGAATCAGATGGCAGGGGCTGCAGAATTGGGTTTTTTATTTCCTTTTTTTTCCCCAAGTTAACTTTTGCCATCACATAGCTGCTAACAAGCCCGTATGTGACAGCATTTGGACGTGACCTGTTCTTTTTATGGAGACATCAGGGGTCAATTAGACCTCTGCCTTACCTGCCCTCCAATACAGATCATTCAGTGATCACAGAACAGATTGTGGAACTGACGTTCCCTGTCTGCTTCGGTCCCTCTTTCTGACACTGTTTGCCATGGTCCTGGGCCCCTCCATTAGAGCAGGGAACCCTGAAGACCACGGCAAGGGGTGCACGGAGAAGGGCATGCGGCTTGATCGTGGCTAATACAAGTGATCTGGGTGGCTGTACAGGGCATATGGCCCTGCCTGATGTCATTGGTTGCTAGGACGCCAGCTCTAGGTTAGGGCTGGAAGTGGATGCACTGTCAGCCAGCCATAACTCTGCGTAGGTCAGCAATCACAGTCAAGACAGAACCGCCACTAGGTCTGTGTACGGACTGCGGTCCTCCATTTAGTGACCTCTGATCTAGAGCATGAAGGTAAGGTGGTTACTTCTATCTTTGCATAATGGTAAAATCACTATACTATTATATGGTTTGTAGTGTAAAGCAGACCAAGCTTCTGTAAGACCACAGTGACCTTGGTGGAGGAATCAAGTCCAGCTAAGATCTAAGAATTTCCTGTGCGTGTATACAGTATATGCATATGGTGTGTGTGTGTGTGTGTGTCTGTTTCCTATTGTACATGCTGCAGATTCTTTAAAGTATTGTTTTAATTAAATGGATATGAGGAACAGTATAAAAATGTTTGTTTTCATCCCCAAAGTGCATGTGTTATGTGTATAAACCCTATTATGTGGCACATGCAGGGGCGGACTGGGCCGGGGGGCAGGGTGGCAATTGCCCCCCGGGCCTCTCTGAAGCCACCTCGAATGGGCCCTTGACCCCCGCTGCCACTTGCACACGGCCGCCCGCCGCATCCGACGGCTCTATGATCGGTGCGGCCGCTGCTCGCTGCCTGTCAAGGAGGTGCTCGGGAAGCACCAGCAGGGGGCCCTCTAACATGCCGCGTCTACCTGGTACAGCCAGCCCAGATTGCCTCGGTATGTGATCAGGGCTGGCTGGATCAGGCAGACGCGGCCCTATAATCAGGCGCTGTAGGTGGCCACCAGGTTGGGCCTTCTAAAGACCACCATTATAGCTGGTGGTATTCTGCATTGCTGAAAAATTGAGAGAGTTTACCCCATGTGTGGCGCTTGTCAGAGGTAAGGGGAAAATGCGGGGGGGAGAGGCAGTACTTGGTGAGTACTATCACTTGTAGTGTGGTAGGTGTAGATGAAGGGGGGCGGGGAGGGGGTGGTTGCGCAGGGGTGCGGCTTCCGTTCTGTCTGGACCGGGGGGTCCTTGCTGGGATTTGTAGTTCTAAATATCTGATGCTGTTCTGCATTGCTGTATAATGGTATTGCTGGGAAGTGTAGTTCTCTATCTCTTGGTAGTCATTATTGCTTGGATTTATAGTCCTCTATAGCCAATGCCATTCTGCAATGCTGTAAAATGTATTTCTGATTTAGTGGCAAAACTACCAGTGGCGCAGCAGTCATGCACGCGCACACCCCTGACAAGGCATCCCTCCACTACCAGTGCGCTTTACATTTCCTAAACCGATAAATACATTCAAACTACTGTTACATAGACGGCAAAAGTGACAGACAGGGGCGGGGAGAAGCCGGGGAAGAGGCAGAGCGTGAGGGGGGCCAAGTCGCTGCACCATGGGCCTCTGGGTTGTACTTGCTTACATATGTAGGGCTCGTTACATTGCAATCCTTGTCAGCAGTGTTTTTAAGCCAGGTCTACCTTTGCGAAGCATCCTGCAAAGCTGGCCATACACTGTTTGTTCATGCTAACGGCTGGATGTCTTGTTTGGACCACACACTGGTCGAATTTTGCCCAAGTCACCACGACCAGGACTGGTGCATGGCCAAGTTTAGTACAAAATGATGTACTGTGCCAAATGACTTGAGACATTGAGTCTAAATGTTTGCTGCGTTCAGGCAATAGCTGCCTATTGTGCTGTCTGGCCTCTCAGAGGTGGTCCTGCTGCAGGCAGATGATTGTCTGTAAAAATGTCAACTCTGCACTGGATGCTTTCTCACATCCAGTGCACTGTGAACGAGGCATATAAATGTTGTAATTTTAAATGCACTGAGTAGTGCAGTCTCTTTGTGGCAGCCCCCGGACACTTCACAGACATGCTTGAAGAAGTATGCTAAAGTCATACATGTCTATAGCTTCAGGGCTGCTCTGAGTATTAAAATCCAGGTCATAAGACACAGGAGTCGCTAGTGAGAGGTGAGAGGCATGTGAAATAAGCCTGAGGGGACAGGATCATTGAGGAATAGTGCAAGATTAGTGGGATGTGTTGACTGATGAAGTAGATCTTGGTATATTTATGACAAAACAAATCGCACTCTCTGAAGTTGTTTTAACACAGTTCAACAGACATCTGTGTTGCTATTGCAATGGTAGCAGTCTAGAAGACATCTTTGTTCAGCTAGTGGCAGATCTCGTAATAAATGATTTGCCAAACGAAATGGTGTGTAGTTTTTCGAAGGGACTACGCAAAAGTTTTTGAATATCCGACATTTATCCATTTGCTAACCACTATGTAGTATGAGAACTCGCAATTGGGAAAATTCTATAGATCTGATTGATTAAATTCCAAACTTCACATCTGGAAAGGTCTAGGATTTGCGCCCATGATTGGCTCAAATATAGGCTTGTGTCTATATATCACATTTCCATATTGACCATAGAACACATCAGAAAGTCTGTTGTGCTCCTCTTTATTGTTTTCTCTGTTTTTAATATTTCAGAAGATAAATTCCAAGTTACATGATGGGGTTTGCCAGCGCTGCAAGGATGTACTGGCGTGGAAAGTGAAGTTCAGCAAGTACAAGCCACTGTCTCAGCCTAAGAAATGGTAAGTAACATCACAGTTGTAATAAGGAAGCGGCCCTATAGAATTGTATCATTTACTCAAGGTTTTGCCAAGCTTCCAGTTAATGCCTTTGGGAAAAACATGAATGAGTTGGAAAACAATAAAGCTTTTATCTGAAATCTGAAACTTCTTCCATAAAGCGCGTGGCTGGAACAGTAACTGTGTATTTAAAGTCTCTCTTGAAAGAGATCCATTATTAAAGCAGATTATGTGGTAACTTTAAACATGGCCTAAAATGGAAATACACCTGAAAGATGCATTAGGGTAACCTTTGAGCAGCAACGCACATCAGATATTGTAGTTCTACAGTACATACTGTCCAAAATATTTGGTTTATGGGCCTTTTCAGTCTTTTACTTTAGGAAAAGATCTAACTAAAGTAATAACACTTTTTAATACATTGCTTTCATGATATTCGCTGCAAAAAATGCTATTAAATAACTTGCCTCTCTCATTGTTCATAGAGGAGGTCCTTCATAATTTACTGGGTGCATTACATAAAAAAAGAGGTGATTGTTGAGTTGAAAACGGCTGCAAAGCGAGGGCTTGCCACTCCTGTGAGTGATGGCCAAGTGCCCATGTGACCCAAACCCACAACCAGTACTCTCCAGCTTTCATAGCTGAACATCTTTTCACTTATTACATAGAGATTTTGGGGAACTATCACCTCTCGCTGTACTGCTGAATGAGGCATGTTATCATTTCAACAGAAAAGTTCCCAGGTTAAAGCAGAATTGCAGGTGGATATAGGGGTTAGCATTTTTTCCCAGTTATATATTTATAACAACAGCTAGTGTAAGTACCTGAATCTGTCTTTTTTATGTTGCCTTGATATAATCCTTTTGTAATGCAGTGTGAGCCAGTCAGGCTCTACTGAATCACAGAGTGCTTGTGGGCACCAGCAATGCCAACAGGTTGGGACATACCTTCCAGTCATCAGTAGGGGGCCATATAGACAACCTGTTTAACTTCTGCACATCCCACATACCTGCCGTCAATGAAGGCTGCTTCATTTTTCTAGCAATTTATAAGCGACTTTTATAGTTATAGATTCTCTTATACACGTGAACAAACGGGCTTCACCCCACAATGCTGGTAGCAGAATTTTAGTTTTATTAGATACCCTGAAAGACATTTGTTTCTGTTGAGTAGTTATAATTATATGCAGTGTTTGCCAAGCTTTGTATAGGAGGCAAATTTTCTGCTTCGGTTGAGCTACCTTATCATGCTCCAATGCAAAGAATTGGTACCGGTGACTGGATACCACCATTGTTCCACCTACAACATGGTAGTCATCAGGGCTGCCCATTTATTAATATATACCCTGTCTGCTGCACCTTGGCAACACACACACACACACACACACACACACTAAGAGGCATACATATCTGTTCACAGACCAAAAATTAGCCCTCTGTGCAGATGACATAATCCTTTTCTTAGCTGCCCCACATGTAACCCTCTCTACTACCCTAGACGGTCTAGAAAGATGTGGATATTATTCTGGTCTCGCCATTAAACAACTCTGGTACTCAAGTGGTTAACCTGCTGTCCTCTACACCTATTGTAATTGCAAGTACAGGCCTTGGGAGTCTACTGTACATGGGTTTCTTCAGATTACAGTGACTGTCACATATACTGTGAGGGGGATTTATCAAAACTGGAGCAGACAATCTGGAGCAGCTGTGCATAGCAACCAATCTGCTTCTCTCTTTCATTTTCAAAGCTTAACTGAGAGAAGCTGATTGGTTGCTCTGGGCAACTGCTCCAAATTTTGTCTGCTCCACTTTTGATAAATTTCCCCCCTGTGTATGTTAGTGTGCAAGAATTGTGTATGTTATTTTACAGTCCCATAGCCTTGTCATGTTTAATCATTTGCAGGAAAAAGATCAAAGCTTCATGTGTGAAGGGCATGTTTTCATTTAATTACAGACACTTAATTACGCAACAGTCACCATAGGGGGGGATTTACCAAGCACATTTATTAAAACATGTCTAAAGCTAAAACTTTCTGACAGTAGGCAATGTTGAAAGCCGGACAGTTTTTTTTTCTTTGCCAACTGCGTCCAATTGGGGGATATTTACCTTAATTTTCTGTTCTGTATACGTGAGACGAAAAAATGGGATAGTTGCGAAGGAGAAACAAACCGAGAGATGTTCCAAAGAGGGAAAGCTGGGAGCTGTGACTGATAATGGTTACTTTTGCAATTACACATTATAGACAAATGCTGTAAATTTTTATTCTAGCTGTCTGTTTTTGCAAGACACATTATTCAAATGCAGATAAGCACTTGACGGGCAGACTGGACACCTGTGGTAGATGCACAAATTAGACCTTATATGCATTAGTAAATTGAAGTAAATCTGTCATTCTTTGATACTGGTGGTATAAATAAAGTACAGGCACAATAAAAGATGAATGTAGAGATGGAAAGATACAGGCTGACCCTCAACTTTTAAGCTGAATTTTGCATGAATGAGAGGGGGCCTCTGAGGTACTTGTGAATCACATTCAAGCACCTCTTTTGTACATTTCAATTATATTGCACATGTTCTGGTACAGTGGCTAGTATCATCAGTACAGATTATACTAGACACGGCCTCAAACTACTCCAACTGCCCCAAAACTTTACAGTCCAGTGTGCGTGATTAAAGGGGTCCCCGACAACATTTAAAACCATTACAAATTATTTGATAAAGACATTTGGATTTGCACTGCATTAATGCCGGATTCTGACTGGCAAATTGTTGAAACCTCCACCCTTTTCTGCCTAGCAGATCCCCGGTACGAGAAATACACTATATTGCCAAAAGTATTGGGACACCCCTCAAAATGATTGGATTCAGGTGTTCCGTGAAATTTCCTTGCTACTAAATATTCCACGATCAACTGTTAGTCAACTGTCAACTCGGCCACGAAGTGGTAGGCCACTTAAAATTACAGTGCCGTGTCAGAGCATGCTGAAGTGCACAGAAGTCGCCAACTGTCTGCAGAGTCAATAGCTACAGACCTCCAAACTTCGTGTGGTCTTCAGATTGGCACAACAACAGTGCGTAGAGCGCTTCATGGAATGGGTTTCCATGGCCGAGCAGCTGCATCCAAGCCTTACATCACCAAGTGCAAAACGTCGGATGCAGTGGTGTGAAGCACGCCGCCACTGGACTCTAGAGAAGTGGAGACGTGTTCTCTGGAGTGACAAATCATGTTTCTCTGGCTGGCAATCCGATGGATGTGTCTGAGTTTGGTGGTTGCCAGGAGAACGGTACTTGCCTGACTCCATTGTGCCAAGTGTAAAGTTTATTGGAGGGGGGATTATGGTGTGGGGCTGTTTTTCAGGGGTTGGGCTTGGCCCCTTAGTCCCATTGAAGAGAACTCTTATTGCATTAGCATAACAAGACATTTTGGACAATTCCATGCTCCCAACTTTGTGGGAACAGTTTGGGGATGGCCCCTTCCTGTTCCAACATGACTGCGCACCAGTGCACAAAGCAAGGTCCATAAAGACAAGGATGAGCGAGTTTGGGGTGGAGGAACTTGACTGGCCTGCACAGAGTTCTGACCTCAACCCGATAGAATACCTTTGGGATGAATTAGAGTGGAGACTGCGAGCCCGGCCTTCTCGTCCAACATCAGTACCTGACCTCACAAATGCGCTTCTGGAAGAATGGTCAACCATTCCCATAGACACACTCCTAAACCTTGGGGACAGCCTTCCCAGAAGAAGGGTGGGCAAACTCAATATTGAACCCTACAGATTAAGACTGCAATGCCATTAAAGTTCATGTGCGTCTGAAGGCAGACGTCCCAATACTTTTGGCAATATAGTGTATGTAGGCATCAACTGCTGATGTCATCTTCAGAAAATGCTAATTGCCTGTCTCTCTTTTTTTTTTTTTTTTTTGCATATCAATTTTTATTGTTATTATTGCAGGTTACATAGTGATGAGGCATTTTCTTAAAGAAATCAGAATGTGTTCACAACATGTGGTGAGGATAAAATACAGGACCATATACATTGCCGCAAATTTAACATGTGTGTGTGGCATAGGGAACTTCACCTTAAGATATGTAGTCCATAGATCGCTATGTGTAAACAGAAATAAGTAAATCAATTCAAAGAAAGAAGGAAAAAATAAATAAATATATCAATACTGTAACTGATCCTGGATCATTCAAGTGAATGTTCTGATGAAAGAAATCGCTGGATTAGTGGAGAGATCGTAGAACCACTTTTGTGTAGAGAGGGCCTAAGGAATGTCGGGGAGTCTTAAGGATTATCAGAGAACATCTAGTGCTCCGAGGGATCCGTCAAGTTTGGCGCGGAGAAACCATGAGGAGTACTGGAAGGTAGTCATAATATCTTGTAATTGTTGTGCAGGGAGTTCAGACGTTTAAATACCTGGACCAGGTATCGAAGAATCTACCTGTGAGATGAAGATCGAACTGTGCGCTTAGTTTATCCAGTATCATGAGTCTTTGAATTATGACTGAGTAAATGTACTGAGTGTGGGCGAAGTAGGAGACAGCCAGCCGGTCAATATGGCCTTCTTCGCACTTAAGATGCAGAGGTGTTCACAGCGAGTGAGGGAGGGATGTGTTGTGACAGAGTCTGGGGAAGGGGAGTGAAATAGGGAGATGTCAGGGGAAGGCATTCTCTGTCTGTCCGATTTCATATTCATGAAGGCAATGATTTCAGTCCATAGGGATTGGATAAAGGGACATAGCCATATAAGGTGGGTTAGGTCAGGCATCGGTAATTGGCATTTTGGACAATGGGTCAACCAGCCTGGAGGGTTATTGGGTGAGTTAAAGCCATAATAGGCTCTGTGTATCAATTTGAATTGTACTTCCCTCCATGCTTCAATAGTTATTGCTTTCCTCAGGTGTCTCCAACCTGACAGTATTACAGAATGTGTGTCTTCTGGAGTTAGAAGAAGCAGGTCGGCCCACTTGGCTATGTAGGTAGGAAGGGCTGGAGGTA